CTGACGTGCTTTTTAAATAAGCATATATCATGGCAGCAACTTACTAAGGGTTTAATTATTGATTTATTAAAGGACACCACTTCACATTAAAAAAATCTACAGTTTAAAATTCAATCTAATATTCTAAAATATATTATAATTACAGTGGACATAAGACAAACAAAAAGTATACATATTACACAAAACAATTAAATTTGCGTTCTTACAGTAAGTAGTAAATTATAATTCCTTTCTTTAAATCAGTTTGAAAAACATCTTCTTTTCCTGTCATATAGTAATCTACTCCCCCGGTTGAAAACCGAACCAAAAAAAGCCCCCCCCCCCCCCACCCCCCGCCCCCCCCCCCCCCCCCCCGACCGGCCCCCGGCAAACCCCCCCGCCCGCCCCCGCCCCCCCCCCCCCCCCCTAATTTTCCCCCCCCCCCCCCCCCCAACAAATTCCTTTTATTTTTCCCCCCCCCCTCAACCCCCCACCCCCCCCCAACCCCCCCCCCCCCCCCCCCCCCCCCCGCCCCCCCCCCCCCCCCCCCCCCCCCCCCCCCCCCCCCCCCCCCCCCCCCCCCCCCCCCCCCCCCCCCCCCCCCCCGGTGGGCCCCCCCCCTCCCTTCCCCCCCCCCCCCCCCCCCCCCCCCCCCCCCCCCCCCCCCCCCCCCCCCCCCCCTTCCCCCCCCCTTCCCCCCCCCCCCCCCCCCCCCCCCCCCCCCCCCCCCCCCCCCCCCCCCCCCCCCCCCCCCCCCCCCCCCCCCCCCCCCCCCCCCCCCCCCCCCCCCCCCCCCCCCCCCCCCCCCCCCCCCCCCCCCCCCCCCCCCCCCCCCCCCCCCCCCCCCCCCCCCCCCCCCCCCCCCCCCCCCCCCCCCCCCCCCCCCCCCCCCCCCCCCCCCCCCCCCCCCCCCCCCCCCCCCCCCCCCCCCCCCCCCCCCCCCCCCCCCCCCCCCCCCCCCCCCCCCCCCCCCCCCCCCCCCCCCCCCCCCCCCCCCCCCCCCCCCCCCCCCCCCCCCCCCCCCCCCCCCCCCCCCCCCCCCCCCCCCCCCCCCCCCCCCCCCCCCCCCCCCCCCCCCCCCCCCCCCCCCCCCCCCCCCCCCCCCCCCCCCCCCCCCCCCCCCCCCCCCCCCCCCCCCCCCCCCCCCCCCCCCCCCCCCCCCCCCCCCCCCCCCCCCCCCCCCCCCCCCCCCCCCCCCCCCCCCCCCCCCCCCCCCCCCCCCCCCCCCCCCCCCCCCCCCCCCCCCCCCCCCCCCCCCCCCCCCCCCCCCCCCCCCCCCCCCCCCCCCCCCCCCCCCCCCCCCCCCCCCCCCCCCCCCCCCCCCCCCCCCCCCCCCCCCCCCCCCCCCCCCCCCCCCCCCCCCCCCCCCCCCCCCCCCCCCCCCCCCCCCCCCCCCCCCCCCCCCCCCCCCCCCCCCCCCCCCCCCCCCCCCCCCCCCCCCCCCCCCCCCCCCCCCCCCCCCCCCCCCCCCCCCCCCCCCCCCCCCCCCCCCCCCCCCCCCCCCCCCCCCCCCCCCCCCCCCCCCCCCCCCCCCCCCCCCCCCCCCCCCCCCCCCCCCCCCCCCCCCCCCCCCCCCCCCCCCCCCCCCCCCCCCCCCCCCCCCCCCCCCCCCCCCCCCCCCCCCCCCCCCCCCCCCCCCCCCCCCCCCCCCCCCCCCCCCCCCCCCCCCCCCCCCCCCCCCCCCCCCCCCCCCCCCCCCCCCCCCCCCCCCCCCCCCCCCCCCCCCCCCCCCCCCCCCCCCCCCCCCCCCCCCCCCCCCCCCCCCCCCCCCCCCCCCCCCCCCCCCCCCCCCCCCCCCCCCCCCCCCCCCCCCCCCCCCCCCCCCCCCCCCCCCCCCCCCCCCCCCCCCCCCCCCCCCCCCCCCCCCCCCCCCCCCCCCCCCCCCCCCCCCCCCCCCCCCCCCCCCCCCCCCCCCCCCCCCCCCCCCCCCCCCCCCCCCCCCCCCCCCCCCCCCCCCCCCCCCCCCCCCCCCCCCCCCCCCCCCCCCCCCCCCCCCCCCCCCCCCCCCCCCCCCCCCCCCCCCCCCCCCCCCCCCCCCCCCCCCCCCCCCCCCCCCCCCCCCCCCCCCCCCCCCCCCCCCCCCCCCCCCCCCCCCCCCCCCCCCCCCCCCCCCCCCCCCCCCCCCCCCCCCCCCCCCCCCCCCCCCCCCCCCCCCCCCCCCCCCCCCCCCCCCCCCCCCCCCCCCCCCCCCCCCCCCCCCCCCCCCCCCCCCCCCCCCCCCCCCCCCCCCCCCCCCCCCCCCCCCCCCCCCCCCCCCCCCCCCCCCCCCCCCCCCCCCCCCCCCCCCCCCCCCCCCCCCCCCCCCCCCCCCCCCCCCCCCCCCCCCCCCCCCCCCCCCCCCCCCCCCCCCCCCCCCCCCCCCCCCCCCCCCCCCCCCCCCCCCCCCCCCCCCCCCCCCCCCCCCCCCCCCCCCCCCCCCCCCCCCCCCCCCCCCCCCCCCCCCCCCCCCCCCCCCCCCCCCCCCCCCCCCCCCCCCCCCCCCCCCCTCCCTCTTTTTTTTTTTTTTTTTTTTTTTTTTATAGCATCAATTAGGTAATGTTCCAAGTGACATTGTTATTTCCGATAATAAACAATAAGCTAGAATGACAACTTTGCTTAAGGCTTGTTATTTGCATGAGTTGCTTTGAATTATAGAAGTTTCCGATTTAAAGAACGTAACAAGATGAGCTTGTACTCGTTAGTGAAGAAGTCTGTTTACGTGTATAAAAATTATCACGCCCTTTAATTTAGCACGGTTGTTATCACTGATAAATTAGTTTGTTAGAGATATTAATGAAATTATTAAGATTAACATTGCTGCATTGCATTAACAATTTTCCAACTTTATTTATCATGCTCTCTTTATTTATCAACCTCATTAGGTTTAAGATGCTATTTAGTTTTAGTTATTATTACTTTTTTTCGTTTTTTATTTTGAGTTCTACAAATAAATATCTTCTCTAATATTATACAAGAATGTTTTGCATTTTGAATTTTCGATTTTATTTTTAAGAATTTATATCAAGCTAAAAATTCCTGACTGATTAAAAAAAATATTTCATTACGAAGAGTATTTTTAAATTTACTAATGACGGACTTGTATGTAAATGATGTTACAAATTTAAAAATGTATATATTCGTTGTAAAGTAAAATCTGTATATTGATTAGATTGCGAATGTGTGTATCTAATAATCTGAAAGGAAGTATTTAAAAACTAAGAAAAATAAGTAAAATAAAACTTTTATGTTAACAAACATATATATCTATTGTCCGACTTAGTAAACTTTCCACTACCACCAGATCGGCATCCACGAGAGTGAAACTATAGCGAGTACATTGCTAGTGTTCTAAGATATTGATGTGTACAATTTGTGATGTTATATTTTCTTGTATAATTTGATACGTTGTTTTCGAATTTATAAATAAATAAAAAAACAATGTTTCTAAATGTTACATTATAAAAACTACTTTGATTTGAAATAAAAAATAGGAATTGTGTTAATGATATATAAAAAAACATCCCTTCGCATTTATAAGACAAGATCGTTGCGTAAATCCTGCCTATGAAAGCGTTAACAATTACTAACTGAAATACTTATTTATTTCGAAGATATAAGCATTGTTTTTTCGACATATATAATCTACTATTAAAGACAAGTTAAGGAACGATTGGCAAATTGAGTTTTTTTATTGTCTTAACAATGTTGACATCTCAGACTGCGAACGCAGACAATCCTATAGGAATTCTCAAAAGTGAATTCTCCTATAGCTATTTTTGTTCAGCGCATTCGTGCGGTACAATTCGAGTAGTGTGGTTTTAAGCGTAACTTCAATCGTGTCAGATACGACTTAGCGTTACTAAGTTTTCAGCATTCCGCTCCAGTGATATCTCAATTTTCACGAGAGGTTTCCTCGCTGAGAGCTTTAATTTGACGTAACTTAAACCTGTACGTTGCTTTTATAATAACGAATAGAGATACAATACATCTTATTTTTTGTATCAATGACCGTATATTCTGGCGATTTTCATTTGTTTTCTTGTGACAATTACGAAACCTGTAACTAATTTGTGTTTATTCAACTAGGTTCCAAGAAAATATATAATATATATACGTAGTTAAGAAAAAATATATTTCCGTCAATATCGTACGAGAGAATGTTCACCATTATCTGTTGTTTTCATTCTTCAACATTACTTTCTGTTAATCCTTATTACGCCTATTAGGACGAATGCCTGTAATTTATTTTAATTTGCTACATCCTGACATTTCTTCGCTAAAGATTATAAGGAAATTTTTCTTTACTATTAAAGAAAAAATGGTTTATTTAATTGAAGTATGGGGCAGCGCCGCTAAAACTAAATTAACGAACATTCAAGTATTGCAAAATAAAATCATCAAAAACTACTGTTCCACTATGTTCCACACTATTATCGAGACACAAACATAATGAATTTAAAACAACTTTATATTTATAATACCCTGTCTCGCCTCGCTGTTGTACATTGTGATTGAATGGTTGAGAAATGAGAAACAAAACATTTCATATAAGTTTAATTTTGCAATACTAGTGGAAAAAAAAATGATAAAAACAATCCTTGATGCGGATTATATATCATGCTAAAATTTCATTTTATATATTCTTGTCAAAAAAAATTTAAAACGTTTTTGAGAAACAAAGTCTTTACACCTTTACACACTTTACATGGTACATGCATACATGTCTCAGAAGGCATGACATACATCTGTTCACCTATCACCTACAACATCTAGCCTATAAATATTAATAATCAAGAAACAGGTTATTACGAGAATTTATTGAAAAGAAAAACAGATATCGAAATTCAAATTAATAAAATAACATCGAAACTGGCACAATCGTATTAAATAACGATCATAACAGTCGGGTTGAAAAAAGGTCCAATAATTATTATACTCGTAAAGCGAGTCCGCGGAAGCCGCAAAACGAAATTTAATTTGCCCTGAACGCTGCATCAGAAATAAAGTTAAAACAGTGCAGTAGGCGGCTGTACGACGAACTTCTAACGCAAATGAATACCGAATGGGAAAAGTTGTGGAGAAAAATGATGTCCCATTCGACCGCGGACTATTGTGGCGTGAGTGCTGTAACACTGTATTGTTTGCTGAATTAAATAGAATATAAGTTTTAGGATTTAATAAGGTCTTGCATGTTTTCATTATAAATAAATAAATTATTTATTTAGATGAATTAATTATAAACCCCACATCAGCCATATAAAATGACATGGTCATATTAATTATCAAAATGCCATAATAATAAGTTAAGTTATTTATAATTACTAATTAGTCTCCCACGATAAAATCTAATCACCTTTCCCTTGAAGCATTCATGACATCTATATCTTCTAGGAAGATGATTAAATAGTTTGATAGCCATGGCGTAGCAATTTTTGAATACTTCGTGGTACAATATGCAGGTTTTCCTATATAGGCGATTTTCTCACAATGTTTTCACCGTAGATATATTATCAAATATATGTTTTTACTGTTATCTTAATATTATTATAATTAAGCCTCATTTATTCCTTGAAACATTCATCCATATTTGGAAAAGATATACATAAAATTTTATTCAGAAATAAATATGTTTTATTTCCAAGGACCTCCGTTAGAGTATAGGTCTCCTCCAACCAGTGAGGATAAAACTTTTTTATCCAGAATATGTAGATATGATAAATTTAGTCTTATTAATAAGAATAAAGGCGGCTGAAGTGTTCCAGCAACAAAAAGATTTGATTAATATGAAGAAGAAATGAAAACAACAATTTGACCTTTTAAATTTGTTTAGCTACAAAAGATTGGAACGTTTTAAAGTAAATGGATGACAATTGTTACAAAGCAGTGTGTCGGCTAGTCTTCGGAAGATCTTCGGAGCGTAGTTAAGGCAAGTCACTTCATTTCCAGATAGTTTGAAAGCAAGTCATTAAGTTGAATGAAACGTGAGGCAATAGGAACTTTGTTTTATAGCTTTACTTCACAAACAGTTAATAAAAACAGAGAAGTTTACAGTACTCACCGTTTTCGCCATTTGAGCGGAGCCCGTGTCCGGATACTGGATTAAGGCTTGAAATGAATCTGAAAATAAAATACGTAATTTTACATCTTTGCGACAACCATTTTGATATTAAGTTGCATGTTATAGAGGAAAATGTGAGGTTTTGCAACAACATTTTAACGTTAAACGCTGTATAATTTTGTTATAGATACACAGGAACAGGAGGGGTTTCCTGTAAAATATTGTTCATGTTTTAACCTGATTATAATAATAATAATAATTAGGCTTCATTAATTCCTTGAAAAATTTACACAATATACACAAACTTAAACACTTAATTTCTATACAGAAATTTTATATTTATTTTTTTTCCAAGGACTTTTATAGGCCTCCTCCAATTAGCACTATCTCTCTCTATCGCAACGCGATTATATGTTAGTATAAATTCATATGTTAAGTTTTAAGCTATTTTTTGTGTAATATTTTAACATACTACTAAATTATTCACCGACAAAATCATTTGTTCCAATTTACAAATTATTATCGACATTAGCGTTTTGTAACGCTACCAAACGTCTCATAGATGTTATGATTGTAAAGTACATTAAATACAAACACTTCATACAAAATTAATGATTTTATTAATGCCAACACACCATTAGGATGCAGGAAGGCATCAGAAATGTTCCCCCCGAGACCACTACGTACTTACGGTCTGACCCACATTGTTTATTCAAAGCGTTTAGATAGATAGAGCATTAAATTACAACAAAACAGCCTTTAGAGTTAAATAGTTCGAGTGTTTGCGATATGCGAGTCGTCAAAAGGAATTCACGAAAGGTAATCTTGCCGACATGAATGAGGAAATTGGCGCCCAATGTGATGCGTTATGATCCATCTTCAACTTCGAAACGGGAGTCAGGTGGCACCGCATTTATGCTTGAAAATACCAAGTTTCATGCAATTTCACCTTCGCAAACTTGGGTCTATAGTGCAGAACTGTTGACTTAACTTTGCGTCATTTAATATATCTATGCGCAGGCACTTAATTATTGAGATGCGGCTTTTATCTTTATTTTTTAAATTGTTTAATTGAAATTATTGCATATGTTATAATACATTATTTTTATAATAAAAGAGTGAGCAGTATTGGCATAGCTTCAGCATGCAACTCTGATCCCTGAGGTCGTTGGTTCGATCCTGACTGAGCACCGACGGACTTTCTTTCTAAGTGTGCATTTAAACATTCGCTCGAACATTGAAGGAAAACATCGTGAAAACCAGCTTGCCTTAGACCCAAAAAGTCGACGGCGTAAGTCAGCACTGGAGGCGGATCACCAGAGCCTATTAGATTGACAAATGATCATGAAACAGATAAAGAAATCTGAGGTCTAGATCTAAAAAGGTTTTATGGTGTTTGTATACTTTTTTATATTAAATCAGTAACTGAAAATCACGAACATGAGACCAAAAATTTATTTTATAGAATATCAGTATAAAGCGGCGTTAAAATCTCTAATTGATTTTTAAATAATTTCCTCTCTTGAAGTCTTGTCTAAAAATTTAAATTTTACATCTATTATAATAATAATTTTCCCGTCTACTACTTGATGCTATAAAACACGGGAACGCTGCATGACGTAAATGTACTAACATCTCTCCCCATACATACGTAAATAGTCTTTAAAAGTCATATTTTGCTTAGGCCCGCCTAGGAACATTAAACGAACGCATAAAAGGCTTACGGCAAATTGGAGGTTTCATGTAATTAACTTTGGAGTAAGAAAAACCGTTTTCTCTTAATAATAGAAAAATAAAGATGAAAAGCCCAAAGCGTATTTCAATTGTATAACCAAATTTGTTAATTTTGCCCAAGACAATGGAACGTTTGTTTTAAATGTACATTTTTTTAATCAACTTAACGTAGTCTAATCTATTGTTTATTACATCAGCCTTTTGTAATATTAATTAATTTATTTATTTGTCAGAGATTTTACTATATGATTGAATGGAACAATTCCGTGAAATCGGTATATGGGATCATAACTGTTATTAATTAATTCATATGTGAATCTCTTTGTAAATATATAATATATGTATGTTCAACGTAATATGTTACATATTTTCAAATATAACCTTATTAGGTCTAGATCTCAGACGACGATCATTTGTCAATCTAATAGGCAAGTAGGTGATCAGCCTGCGGTGCCTGAAACACGGCGTCGACTTTTTGGGTCTAAGGCAAGCCGGTTTCACGATGTTTACCTTCACCGTTCGAGCGAATGTTAAATGCGCACATAGAAAGACAGTCCATTGGTGCACAGCCGGGGTTCTAACCTACGACCTCAGGGATGAGAGTCGCACGCTGGGCCTACACTGCTCACTATAAATATGCTTAATAATATTGATTTCCTTTTAGAATACCATTGCTAATATTATTTAACAAACTAGTAGACAAAAATTGTAATGTAATGTAGCATTTCCTTAAATCTAACCAAATAAAATTCAGTACATTTCAAATTAATTTAATCGAATATTAAAACCTATATCGTTGTAAATTAAAATTCACTAATCCTTTTCGGGTAAAATTTCGGTTGCAATGTAAATTTAAGCGAGATGCTTCCGCCCAGCCGATTACAGCATAATATGATATCTTAAATCTCAGTTCTCTTTAGCTGTCAAACTTGAATGCACCCGCAATTTGTGCTCTTTCATTTCGTTAACACTCGGGACATTTTACATTAAAAAGACGTAATTTGAATTTCAATGGCCCTAAGTGCCTACGTTTAATATAAAGCTACAAGTACATATTATGTAAATAGTTGTAATGAAAAAAATTTAATTAGATAGCAGTTGAATTTGATTGTATGTACACGTGGAAAGAAAAATCTATCGGTGTGTGTGTTGAAATGCTTGAAAGATGCAGGCTTTAAAACTCATTTATTTTTGTTTTATAGGATAGTAGGGCAAACGAGCCTACGGGAATTCTTTCTTTTTAAACAATTGAAGATCGTTTCTCCAAGGGAAGACCCACACCGGGAGTCGATTCCACAGTTCGCTAGTTAGCAAAAGAAAATGTCTCATAATTAACACCTAAGTGACATAAACAGTAAAAAAACAAATGAAACATAAAAGATAATCATAAAACATATCATATAAATATATGATACGAAGTTAACAGTATTACTAAACTATAACAATAAATGTTAAACGAAAGATCACAAATTAAAGAAAGAAGTCAAATAACATTAGTAGCGGACCCCAAAGCTTAATTACGTGGATCCAGCATAGACACGACATGTACCACAAACAAGGGACGAATAATAATTGTAGCGGTCTGGTACACCTTAATAAAGCCAATCGGGGAGGGGGAGGGATTACAGCCACGCGCTCTTATTGAGATTTGTTCCGGGATTAGAATTGTGTATGATGGTGTATATCAGACAATAATGTTGCGAACTACTAGTAGCGTTGTCTAATATTGGGAACAGTTTTCCGTAATGGCAATAGAGGCATAGTTCATAGAGAATTTGTAATCTATTTATATATAGCTGTTTATTTATCTTTTACTAGTAGACTCGGCCAAGCGTTGCTGTGGCTAAGATTTTTGTTATATTACGTAGTAGTAAACTATTCAAGAGAAACGGCAGGAGAACACCAACCCACCATGCTTTTTTGGTGGTTATGCCATTAAATTGTAGCTTATGTTAAACGTTGGTATTTATTTTGATAAGGATCAATACCTAGGTACGAATAAAGAGCCTTTTCTAGCGGTGGTAATTTAATAAAAAAAGACGCTTATTGAGACGTAACTATAAAAGATAGAGACATGCTGTCGCGACATTTTTTATAGATAGTGATGTGTCCTGAAAAATTGTAATACATCATTTTATTCTATCATTAATAGTTTTCGCAGCGCACGCGATTGAAGGAAGTTTTTCGTTTATTTTTTTACATTATTCAAGTTTTAGTAAGCATCCCTAATTTTTTTGAAAATGAATAACGTAATACATATATAGTATAGTATGAATAATATAATAAGTAATATAGCCTATGTTACTCGGGAATAGTGTAACTTGCCAACGGTGAAAGAATTTTTAAAATCAGTCCAGTAGTTTCGGAGCCTATTCATTTCAAACAATCAAAAAATCAAATCTTTCCTCTTTATAATATTACTATAGATGAGAGATGCAAAGTACTAAAGCAGACATTGTCTTTTAAGTTTTTCAAAGTCGTATGTCAGTAATTAATAATTTATTTTTATTGATTATTTTAAGTCTTCAAAAATAGCGAAATAATAATGCGGTTAATATGCATTTCTAAGTATAGGTTTTCGCACAACACAATAAACTATTTTCCGTACGACGCAAAATGTTTTGACTAAATAATAGGCTTCCATACGAAACATTTCTCATTGAATAGCTAAATAGGGTTCGTAATGAACTTAAAAACAAACACTAAGAATATTACAATAATAATTAAATCGGAAGACTTCCGACGTAAGTCACTAACAATCATTAAACATTCATCTTCAAACTCGCAGCAGATTTCGGAGTCTGACGCCTTTATTAATTGTAATATGATAAAAACTTGTAGAATATTCATTAGATAAACTCGGGGAACTTAGGGAAATAACGAGCCGAAACACCATGAATCCAAATTTGGTAACTTCTAAATGGTTTGAGTTAAGTATTTTCGGGCGCTTAAATAAATTCAAAACATTTTGTTAATCAAAGATTGCATATGTTTGACGACGTCTCAAGTCAATCAAACATTTGTAATTATCAAATATTAACGAGTTTTATAGAGGTGTTTTCGTAATATAAATACGAAATTTTTAGTCAATGCGTTAGTCAAATCATTTATTTCAGTTAGGCCTATTAAAAAGGCAATTTTGAAAGTCAAAATTACAAGTTTAAAAATATTTAAGAAACATGACTCTAGTTGCCCCTTCCAAAAGGTAGATTCATATAGACGAGAATGGGCCAAAGACTCCATACTTACTCTTCTAAAATAGTTTTTAAAATATTTTGTATACATTGATAATTATATGTGAAGACCATTGATTATATAAATTGATAAATTATTTTTAATATTTTAGCTGTGGTTTTTGTGCCGTATTTTCCTATTAGCGTAGGATTTTCTACTTAGTTCTTGTTACCAAAGAAAATTTCTATGTGTGCATTTAAAATCTTTAGAAAACTGACATCTCGTAGCCATCCCATAGAAAATTTATTTCATGGAAAAATATGTTAGAAGATAGTTGTATTGTTGCCGTTTCAAAGATTACTCGATATAAGTACTTACTAAGAATATTTAAGAATTTCAAATAGAATTCATCTTCAGAATAAACGTTGAAGCGCAGACAAAGCTTTTACAATTGGACAATGACGAATGCGGTAAAAAAGCAAACAACCGTTTCGGAAGAGCAAGGGTCGCCGGCGTCGCTCGGAAATTGGAAACTCTGCATTAGCGGAGGTGTCCCGATACCGTAGAGTTATGAGCACTTATAACTAAGCCACGATTAGAACGCTCTTTTGACGTATAAATCTTATAATATTGCCAAAGATATGTTAGCAAATTACGCGATTCTAACTTATTATTGTTGCTACTATTAAGTTATGGGTAAATATGTGATACACACGAACTTTTCTCAATATATGGATGATTTATAAAGATTATTGTAATATACATAGTATGTCATTATTTATATTTAATATTTATTAATTTAGACTTGAATTTGTTTACAATTTAACAGCTTTGAAGTTTCAAATATAAATGAAGTAACAAAAACTAACAATAATTGTGTCTAATAATAGGTCTGTGATATTATATGTACAATTAAATAAGCTTGAAAAAATTAAAAAGAAATTGCTTCAATGAAAATTTGTTTCCTTGTTGACTTTATTCAGATACTCGTATGACGGTAAATACATTTTGTATTAATGCCTTATTTTTCTTTGACATAGATACATATATTAATAATATTGAACGGTACAAATGTTTAGATTTATTTAAAACTGTAATTTTAAATATTCGGCCATCTTAGCGTGGTGATGTTAAACAAATACGACGCATATCGATTCCCATAAAATAATAGCAAATTCCTAATGAAGTTTGCGTAGATGAAACCGATATAACTTTGCATGCGTTATCTCGCGACGTGTCGTTTACCGAACAAATTATATTCAATACTTTGTTGTTTGAAATTTGGGTAATAAATTAATGTTTTGATAGAAAAAACAACATGTTTAACCAGTCTGTAAATTTGATTACGATTCCGATTACAATAATAAGGCAACCAACATTGCCTTGTACAGAGGTTTGACAACCCTTAGCTAGATTTCAATTTGATTAGCGCACTACAGTACAGGCCTATGTAATTCGTAGTTTGCACCAGCGCTACGAACATTAAAAGTACTACATCGAAGTTGGGTTTTGTTAACGGAACGTGTTTAGCCAAATCCAGCCATTTACTGAGCCAATCATTAGATATTGTAACAGTTTTACAGAATAGCTCAGCTGAAAGTCCTACATTTCTGGGAATAAGTAAGCAATTTTAGAGTAGAATACTTTGGTTTGTGTTCAACAACAACATGTGTCTGTCCTAAAGTAGTTGAAAGAAAATTTAATGTTTCTACTAGAAAAATGATTTCGTTTTTCATTAATTTTTGTATCTTTTTTTGTTTTTATTATATAATAAAATATTTAGTAAGCTCAGACCTACTAAAAACTTATTGAAATTAACATTATAAAGTTGATTTTAAAGGAACATTAACCGAACCAAAAATCTTAGTTAATTGGTTTATCTGGCCCGGAGGAATAATTAATTTTAGTATCGAAAGTTAAAGGAGTTTTAAATAAATTAAACCTTTTTCGTATTCAGTTACAAAACAGTTTTGAAGTACACTTGTAGTGAAAACATTTCAAAATTACCAAACTATGTTATTACTATTCGAAGAGATGATTTTAACCAATAGTTATTTTTTTATGTTTTTTTTTGGACGTCTTGGACCTGATTTTCTTGGGTTTTCCGATATTGAATACATGTAGTTTTTCTCTATGACGACTTCATTTTTACTATGATTTTTTACTGCAAAAAGTTTTCTTTTACTAGTTTAAAAAATGCAAAAGAATATAATTAATGACCCATTAAGCTGTACTACTAAAAAAATTACAGTACAGATACGCGGCTCAATTGGGTTTTAACTTTAGCATTGGCTATAGAACAGGCTATTCTGCAACTACCTAGTTTGGTTATCCGCCTTTGTAAACTTACTGTTGATTGAGTCACCTCTGATAAAAATAGCAACATACTGAGAGGAGTATTTAAGATTGACAGGCAAATTTACGAGCTGGAAAAAATTCTAAGCTGTTCGCGCGTATTTAAATAAATATAATAGGTTAATAGATAATAGGTTAAAAAACTACTATGAAAAAGGGAACACAACTCTGTCTATTACATTGAACTTAAATATCCAATTATACTTTAGTCACAAATATATATGCTTATTTATAATTAGAAATGAACAGCGGTAGGGGTAGGCAAAGCTTATCAAATATGTACCTACCTCCTGTGCTGGATTTATTTAGGTTATGCATGAGGGGGAGATTTAAATTTTAAACGGATTGCGCCCTTGGATTTTAGAATTGTGTTTAGGCTATCAGGATATACTAAATATTTTAATAGGCTTCAATCAATTGTCAAGATTTTTCTAAAGGTTTACAAACAACAAACAAATAATTTCATACTTTAATGTAGTCATTATTATTGTTTATAAACGTTATAGTTGCAAATGAATTTAAATATTTTTGTTCTTCATTGTGACATTGTTATTAGTGTTTGAAAGCGCTTAGGTTTTTATCAAAGCATTCTTTCTCAAATAAAATATTCATTTAAAATTTAGCTAACATTAATTTTCTTTGAAAGCGAGCGGACAATCGCAACAACGTTGCACTTTCAGAAGATCTAAATACAAAAAAGTCTTGCTATTTTAAGTACTTTAACGCGTAGCTTTTTTAATGAAATCATTACTTCCATGATTTGTAATCCTTCCTACGTTTAAAAATCAAAAGCGTTGAATGTCGATATAAGTTACACAGATGAATATTTAAATATTTTAGTATTACAATGGACCTAAGAAAAAAAGTACTTACTATTTTTCGTGAATGTAACGATTTTGAGCACTTTTCCATATCGCTGGAAGATGGAGTACAGCACGTCCAACACAATTGGGTACAGCATGTGTTCTATGATCACTCTTAACACGGTGTTGGGCCCTCCCTGAAAAAAAAAATTTTTGTTCATACGGCGGCTAATATCTGGCAATGTATTTATACATAAGATTACAGTTATGCGTATGCGCAAAGTGCACTTATTCTCTCATTACATTCTATAGAGGGCATGAGAGCAGGCAAACAGTTTTGCGCAGTACTTGCCATTGCCATGGGCAAGTGCATAGGTTCTAAGTCCGCCTTATTATTTTATACACTATTTATTTGTTTTGTAATTTAAAAATTTATCTTGATAAAAATCTGGGGTGAGATAACGACATATAGAACCATGCGTTTAATTGTGAATGGACAAAACCACGTTATATATCAAGATACTTTCGATACCGTCGAACAGTCATAATCAAACGTAACGCGCTATAGTTTTCCCACCACTACACAGTAAAGATGGAGCTTATAATGAATTTTACTATATTTCATAATCAAAATTGTATTTAATATAAGACGAAAACGTAAATAGGTAGAATAATTCCAGAATGTGATTTATGAATCGAGCTTATAATATTAAAGATGGTCCCCGTAATCAGCTTTGCTTTGGCGAGGTACTAAATAGATAATCCCACTTCGTCTCGTGTTATACCACCCTTAGGTAACATTTGGTTAAGCTTAATGTATTATACGTATTTGGTCATACATAAGTGCAAAGTACATTAATTTGTAAAGTGTGGAGTATTCTACATTATTGAGATTTAAATATTTTAAAGGCACGGGTTTATAATGCGAGGAAGTTCGATTATAAGTTTTTATATACTGACTGAATTTGGTAGACATTATAATAATTTAATGATTATAATTAATTGATGTACCAGGTTTGACTGTGCCATTATTATTATTGAGCCTTTATTGCTGACACACAGTAACAATTATTTAAGTAACATAAAAACAATTTTTTTTAAATAAAATGACTAATTATTAGCATTATTTATTGGTAATTTTAGTCTGTTTTAACTGCCTACTAATATTATATGCCTTTAGGGGGGACATAACATATATATCAATTATATAATAGTAAACTGAAAGAAAAAGCTAGTGTGTCGAGATTAATTTAAGAAAGAATAAGAGAGTGTTTTCTTCTTAAGCCCATCTATCTGACTCATTAATCTAGATTGGTTGCGAACTTGAAGAAAATGTATATTATTTACCTAACTGTACATAATATACAACTCCCCTTCAATAATACGTGGATAGACATATCTTAATAACGAATGCACCAATTTTAATGAATCTTGGACTGTTCCCTAAGTTGGAATATATATTAGTATCGATATAACTTTAGTTCTCAAGAAAGTTGTGGTTAAATATGATACACTTACGAAAAGCGCAACCTATACACTTAAATATTATTAATTTCAGACAATACAAATATTCGAAACAGAACTAATCTAAACGTGCAAACAACTCCTTATATCGAAATTGTATTCGTTTTTACAACAAACTTCTAAGCGAAATTATAGAAATGTTACTAAATAAATTCAAAACTCTCGTTAAACGTAAATTAATCAATAAAGCTTTTTATAAATTTGATGATTATTTAAATAATCCTAATCCTTGGGATTGATTTGCTCCACTTGAAACAATTTGTATGACTCAAAACTTGGCGATTAAAAGGAGTGGCAAAGAGTTTCCTGACAGTTCTTCTTGCCCGCTCTACGCCCTTGACTTAAGAACTGGTAGTAAAGGTAAATTTAGAATGAATTTAACATCTATTCTGTTGACGTTCATAAGTGTACTTGGTTACCTATATGAATAAGGTTATTTTGAGTTTGAGTTTGACGTACAGGTCAGTTTGATGACCTGCTTATTATGAAGTTGGTTAAAAAAGCAAAACGTAGAATTAGGGAATTTAGTATATTTGTGGGAATAGGTAAGATTTAAAGGAATGTCTTATCGCGTTATCACAATTGTAGCCTGGAAAAGTCGGGAAAATTTATAATTTTAAATTCAACATATTATATCGGTCTTATACCTGTATTTCAGTGCCGCCATTCACAGGCTGAAGAGCCGTGCCTGCGCCTGCGACTAACGCAGCACCGGCGGTGTTTGAAATGGCCTGCGCTGCTTGAAGAGCTGCCTGCGCTGAAGCCGACTGAAAAAATAGTTTTGTCCAATAAATTTGCAGTTGTCGTATTAACAGTATTATTCGGTACTTCTATAGGACAAATGTCTTTTAAGTAAATTTAACTATTTGCTATAAATTTAAGGTATGTAATGGTATCTTGTCTCTCTTGAATTATATTGAGGAGAGCAAACAAGACTGATAATATCATAGTGCAAGGTATTTAACTAAAATAACTTTATAATTACTTGAATTTTAAATTATAAAATCTTCCCGACAAATCCTGCATTACCACGTAGATGTAATAAAATAATTTCATTAAAGCAAGTATGTAAGAAAGATAACCGGCCAAAACCGGAATTTGTTTTTTATCCTAATAATTAAAAATGAAGTCTCCCCGCCTATATCTATAAAAAGGTTTTTTGTATGGTATTTACAAAAAGATAGCGTGTTGACTGATAAGAACGATTATTGTTGTTCATGTTCAAAAAATCCTGACAAAATACACGAAATTCACGCGGCGAAAGAACTAATAAAACTAAGGCGGTTTCAACCTCGCAGTACATAAAGAACATACAAGAAATGAGCAAGAAATCAAGACTGAGCATTATATAGCGACATTACGGTCACGTAAGAAGAAAACGTGCTCTCTAATCTGTCGTAAGTCTTACAACAATAGACGCAATACGAATGGGGCTATCTCGAACACGCACCTTGTCGCACAAGATAACATTGACCCCACCTAACAAAGGTTGCTATAAACTTATTTTGTATCGTCGGCCACTAGTAGGGGATTGTTTTGCGCATCGTGTGGAATATTGTATATAGAACAAAGTCCTTATTAATATAATATATATTTCATCACATCATACGTAATGCTATATCTACAGTCTATGTAACTATCTTTTTTAACATATATACCAATTATGGTAAACATAAATGTTACAAAAAATAAAAATACTAGTAACTTTTTGCTGCGAAAAATTACCAGCAACACAGCGGATTAGGTACACACATATCAAAGTTAATATGTGTTTGACCATTAGCCTATCAACTATTATGAATGACATCCAGTTTCAAAATATCGGACGAAGTTTAAACACGAACTCAATAACAGGTGCGACTTTTAAAGTGTTAAAACGTAAACACGTCGAACGCAAAAAAGTACACACGTCACCGGGTGGGCACACTTTGATCCTACATTTTCCCATGGCTTTGTGTCCGGGGCTGACAGGCGCAGGCCAGACAAAAATAAGGCTTTAAACATGTCATAGTAAGCCTGCCAACGACGGCAAAGGCTTCGATACAAATTCGCATTGACTCAACCTGCCTTTATCCCTTGAAGTTTAAGGTTTTTTCTTTTATATTCTGTTTGAGTCAGATATCTTCGGTAACTATTTAGAAGTTATGAAATTGACAACAATACTAGGTGTTCAGTAATATATCTAAAAGGCTTCAATCAAGTACTTAGAGAGAAGAGGTTAACAAAATAATATCTAAATGCAATTTGAAAATATATAATTATTGCCTGTTTGACAGGATGCAAACAGGCAGGAGGCTCACCAGATGTTAAGCAATCCCACTGCCCATGGACACTCACATTGTCAGAAGGCTCGCAAGTGCGTTGCCGGCCTTTTAAGAATTGGTACGCTCTTTTTTTGAATTACCCTAAGTCGTATTGGTTTGGAAATACTTCAGTGGATATCAATAATTAAAAAGAAAACTATATAAGTTTTATCTATTTATTACAAATAGATTTTATCGAACCTCTTTGAAACGCATTGAGCATAGACAAGTGAATATTAAAGGTCTTACAAATCTGTCAAAGGTAAAAATAATTGTGAGCGAAGTTCCTTTAAATTATTTCCCGTTGTAAGTAGTGCCAAACTCGAGGTTATTTAAGAGAACTTATTCGCAGGACGCAATCTCTCAAGTCGGCTACTGCCAGACGACGAAATAACTTTCTATTGGAGAGTTCTATTCAGCGACCACAAAAACCTTTTTGCATCGCATGATTGATCAAAGCCTTCGCTACACTAAAAATGCATCAGTGCTTATTGAAACTGATGTGAATTTTATTTTAAGTAAATATTTTTCATGAATCTTTTGAATGGAATAGTATAAATGGGAATAAAGATTAGCACTATGTTAATATTCATCGATTTGCGGATTTGTCAGAATTTTACCATAAAATATAATTGTGAATATAACGAATGTTGTGTCATAATATAAAGTAACGTCGGATATAGGAGGTGACAGAATCACGTCAAAATACGGTGGCAGGAAAATTCAAGATAATTTTGTATGAAATAATTTTTGTTTTAGACTGACTAAAAATATATTCAATAAACTTTAATTTGTAAAGAAGTTAATATTGCTATACTTATGAAGTTATCACACAACAGTACTTAGATTCGTTCATTAAGATTATGGACGACTAGTGACAACCACTTAGTAAGTATTCAAATGAATTCACCATCCAAGAAGTTAAAAACGTTTTACTGCTCCATAGGTATTATTCGTAAAATAATTACTTAACATTTAGAAGTTTTAGATATATTATTGATTACTAGCACGTGTGACAGATACAAACCACTGACATAGTAAGGAGCTCTTACCCCGTCACATCAAATAGCTAAATAACTCCTCAAATACGTATAGATAGCAAATAGACTAGTTGTATCCGTTTTGAGTTTAATCATCACATTAATTAGCAATTCTGTTTACTCTGACGCCTGTTTGCAATACCGACAATTAGATCAAACATTATATCATTAGTTGACATTGTCTCTTGTTTATGCAAAGTTTTGACATAAATGCCTCTTTCTTAATAACAACAGGGCGAGTTCGTAAACTTAGCATGACTACATACTGTTTTTATGTTTATTTACTTTTTAAATAAAATAAAATATGTTTAGTATGGAACATAAGATACAGGTATCACTTATTCCACGTCATTAAATTTGAATCTGTAGGCATCCCTACTCATCGGCAAAAGAGAGGGAAAAAGCCGGCGTAAAAAACTCTCGGTACTCTTTGAAAATAGCAAATCATCAATCAACACTTATTTTAAAACAAATATCGCAAATTAATTAGAAGTAGCCTGTCTAGCACTAGTCCCAGCCCTTTTTATCAACTAGATAATCGGTAAATTTTTAGTCAGCCTTTTATTACACAGCTTTTCTTTAATACATTTCTTAAATTTATTAAAAGGCAGAGATAAAAGAGCCTCTGGGATTTTATTAAAGAAGAGTATCCCTTTTCCCAAAAAAGAATTACTAACTTTAGATAGTCTAGTACGTAACGTAAAAGATACATGTCAGCTGTAAAGTATGCGGAACGTCAGACAATTTTATAATTAAAATCCACATAACATTGTAATAAAGCAGTGTTGGCCTAGTGTATTCAGCAAAGACCTAAGACCTAAAAATTGAAGGCGTGTGTCAGGCACAAAAGGCTGATCAGCTTTCTTATTAAGAAAAACAAATGAAATAGATACAGAAATCTGAACACCACTGGTTTTTTTATAACATTGAAATGATAAAACACGTTTTAATTGAGTGTAGTTTCTTGAATTTACGAGTATGATAGACGCAAAAATAAAATCACGTTAAGTTTGAAATTCTTTAAAAGTTTTTTCCTTAGGGAAATGGATAGTTAAGACTCTCGAAGGTAAGACTCTAACTAACACTCATAAAATTTAGTTATTTAAACGTTAAGAGGCCTTTTCAGTAAGACTTTCTTACTAAGAAATAGTATTTTACTTTAAAAAGAAATAAGCATTACTTAGTGAATACACTTTTAATTACTTTAGCTTTTTTTTAAATTAGTCGCAGGCCCACGGATGTCGGATTTGACACTGGGTTCTGGGGCTGGTACTACACTATGAGGTCTTTGCTAATTAGAGGGGTAGTTGGGGCTCGATATGCCACTAAGTTAGGCATACGAAGTTCACCTAGGCATTGAACCCAAGAGCTTGCGATTGCACCTTCAGTTAAGAGAAGCTGATAAAACATATTTGAAATATTATTTTTAAGGTGATTTAATTTTAAAGGCAAGGGATTTAGACCAAGTTTTAACAACAGTTGTAAATGAAATTATGACATCATGATAATTAATATGACATTTGTGTGCCTTTTTTAAAATGGCTGATTGTGCGAGTTTATAATTAATCAATCTGAATGTACCACTTTCTTTGCAATTAAACAATTTATTATTATTAATACACAAGAGTTAATTCCCCTTCTGCCTTTGTTCACCTTTGCTTATGAGAATACGATCGTATTCTGACTTAATAGCTACAACAAATCAATATGAAAAAGGCATCTTACAAATGTATGTTTATTGGAGTCTAAAAGCCGCTTATTGATGTTCACTTAATGTTTCACTCACATAAGCCTATGAATATACATATTTCAAAGAGAATGAAGGCAAATTGTGCCGAAGCGTAACTAGAATTGTTGCTTTTATTTTTAAGCTTTAATTGTTCGTCATATACTATTTGAGCAAGGTCCGAAAATCGTTCTATTTTTAAAATAAAAATACATACTATTGGACTTCTCTAAAGTGTGTTTCTGACATTTAATCTGCCTAGAAGAAACCACTTAGTAGTGATAACTCTGTCTGTTGCAGTACGGAATTATATAAATAATAATAATCAAAAAAATCAGTGGCGCTACAACCTTTTTTAGGTCTGGCCCTCAGATTTCTGTATCTGTTTCATGATCATTTGTCAATCTAATAGGCAGGTAGGTGATCCGCCTCCTGTGGCTGACACACGACGTCGACTTTTTCACAATGTTTTCCTTCACCGTTGGAGCAAATGTTAAATGCGCACATAGACAGAAAGTCTATTGGTGCACAGCCGGGGATCGAATCTACGACCTCAAGGATGAGAGTCGCACGCTGAAGCCACTAGCCAACACTGCTCAAATAAAAATAATAAAGTCCCTTTAAATCCATACTGTTAAGAATTACATATTAAATGGGTGTTAGTTTTGTTATTATACACTTAGTCTACGATAGGTAGTTATAGTACATTGTTACTTTGTATTTTGCAGTATGGACCCCATTGGATAAAGGCCTCATCCTGAACTTTCCATTTGAATCTATTCTATAAGATTTTTCGATGAAGAAGAACAGAAGAAAAAATAAATAATTTTACAAATACATTACGGTATTATACATATGCTATGTAATTTCGTAATGATTTTATGATGTTATGAATAAGTTTTACATTTATTAACTAGTTTATTTCATACACTTGAAATTTATGATGAAAATGCTTGAAATATTAAATTTAATTTCTAAATTTGATATTATAAACCGTAAAGTGATTTTAGGGTGTGTTCAATAGGTTACGCGGATAAACGAAACTAATTAAGCGTTTTAATTAATACAACATTGGGGTGCTGTATTACAATTATTGATTCCCTTTACCAAACCCTTAAGAGGATACCAAGATTCCCGTTATCTTTCGTCGTTATTAGTTTCCTACTTTTATTATGGTATAAACTTAGTCCAATTATAACTTCGCCGGTGGGGTAGTAAAATAAAATAAATTACTCGCAAGCACTAAAAGGGTTAAGTGTGAATTTCAGTGCCTGAGACGGTGAAAGACGTTAATTTCAGACCAAAAAAACCAAAAGTGAAATATATTTAGCGTAACTTAATCGTCTCCGGGACGTACTAATTATGATTTGTGCAACTCCGTTTTGAATAGGAAGAATTATGGGGACGTAAATAAGAGCTTTTTGATTTATTTTTTTCATAAACACACTTTTTGCTTTATATAATAGTAATCCGGTTCATTTTTGTGTGACTTTGTTTTGAATCCTTAGAAAGCAAATTTAAAGCTGTGCTTATGCTATCTGTTAAATTATCTCTAACATTAGAATAATAATTACGACATTCAAAGCTTGTGTATCAGATGTTTTAGCTTTGAATTAGATAATTAAAATCTAAACTTAACAGCTTTTACACCGTTAAAAGTTCTAAAAAAACAATAACTACAATTTATACTAGTGTATTGTGCTTTCATATGAATTAAAGAGAAAAAGGGGTATGTTAGTCGATTTGCTGTATCGCAATTTTTATTTCTTCAAAAATCCACGTTGAAACATTCATCGAACAATGAATTCACTCTCGGCACTGCAACCATACATCATTCGTAGTTCACTAACTCAATCAAATCTGTGCAACGTACGGACCCTAACATGTATGCGGGCAGTGAATACTGTTATCTAAATGCAACGAAGATTATAACAGTTTCACAGATTATTCATAATTATTTGATACGACTTTAAATATCCAATGTTGCCAATAATTCTCATTGTATAAATACACTTAACTAAAGACATATAACTAAACTCAATTTATTTTTTATTTTTTAGAATCAACGCAATGTATTGAATTGGGATATGGTGAAATATGTTTAATGTGAGAACCAATGACTTAATGTATGCTTTTCAAATTAACACTGTTCGCAAGTATAAGCGAAGTAGGTATTTAGAAGAAAGATAGGAAAGTATTTTATTTTAAATTTGCTTAGTCAACGTTGGCGTTGGCGAATAATTTTCCGCAAACCAAGTAATTCTTAAGGCTTTGAGGCACCCTTTGAGAATATCTACGCTACAGAACAGTATTTTAATAGAGGGTTTACTATAATCCATTGGTGACGTGTCCAATTTAACTTGATTCTTGATGCATTAATATTGCGTTGATAAAGCATATTAAAATACTCACCGCATTGCTATGTGTCTGGTCGGTTTTGAGCTCTTTGTGATTTGAAAACTGTACATAGACAGCACGTCCCCTCAGTTGTGCGACGCAGCCTCCAAAGTAAGCGACCATAGCCACAGCTGATATCTCTTCAGCCATCTCTAAGAATGCCTAGAAATAAACAATTAATTCATTTTAAAAATGTGCAAAACCGTTCGTGCTTTGTTTAGTGTGGACAATTTTTATTGTTTTTGTGGCACTTCAATAGTAAATATTATTTATATATGAAATGGTAGTGTAGAAAAAGCATTACGGAATAATTTCAGTGCAATTTCATGAGATCGCAGTATATAAATAATGATAAGTACAATAGAATGAAAGAACATAAATTGAGTAGCTCGAGCTACGACAACTATCACCTAATCTAATCGAATATACCGGAGTCGGGAGGGTAATATATGGGAATGAAAGATGACGCGTCGAGAGGTCTCGCTTTCGAGTTTGTCGTTCGTATATTTATTCCTCCTAATTCTACGATGTCTATCGTGGCACGTGAATATTTAACGAAATGTCCAAAACGATTTTATGTGAAATGCATTTGGAATATTGCAGTAAAATTGATAACACAATTTCGGAATATGCTTCAGCGCTAGAATTCACCAGATATTGCTTAACAATGTTGCGTTAACGTAGCGTTAACGAGGTTTTGTATGTAGCACCGTAGGCTGCAATTAATCGGCTCTAGCAGGGTCGGGCATACATAAACTCGGCAACCAAACAACAAGACTGATCCTCCACACGTGTACTGCGTGATTCTCTAAATGTGTTATGATTTCCCTGATTTCATAGAGAGAATTTACCAGCACCTATTTACGGGGAGCGCGGCTTAAAACCGCAGGATTCTGCTTTTGGCATTTGAACATAGCTGGCCGGTAAATACACCAGTAACAGACCGTGCAGTCAGCCGCAAATTAAATCGAATTTGTCTGCTGCTAATTAAAAACTAAATATATAGCGGTCGGAAACGACCGACGCATTTTAGCACTGTCAAGGGTAGTTTGTTTAAATAACTTCTGCTTTACAAGATATTTTTTTTGTATCATTGAAACTTTAGCTCCTAAATAAGCATACACATAATTTCAAACCTTAATTATTTATAACAGTAAAAACGACTGTCCGAATTATTTACTAAAATAATACTTAAGTCTTTATAGTTTAATGATATTGTATAACCACAAATGCTAAAACATGACAATGTGCCTTTAAATAAAATCAACTAAACTTTAGTAACTAACATCAAATAATAGTATCGCATTCACGTTAATTCGTGCACAGTTTCGGGCTAAATGATAGCACACAAATTAATGAACGCACAGTAGCCGTAAAATGGTGTCAACTGCTCTTCGTTTTAATCACCGAGAGTGGAGGCGATTGTCCACTCACGTCGATGTTTGCCCACCTCTCGATGGATGGCTTTTTAACTCGACTGGGCTCCGGTTGCTATTAACAATGATACTTTTCATCATCCATCAAAGTTCGTTTCAAGGAGTAATTGAAAGCCTGAGAGTAGCTAAAGTAATATTTTGTTGACTTGTAATTATAGCGTAGAGGTATTTTTATTACTGATAAGCGAGAAATAGGCAAGTTTTGTGAGGTCTACTGATATATGAATAGAAGTAACTAAAATGGTAATATGTCGTGAAACGAGTATGCCACATTCTTGACATTCGAAGTCATAAAAGAAAATTGCTTGAAACGTTTGATGAAAATAGAAAATAAAAATCACTTTCCCGAGTGAAGATGTTAAAATTTAAATCCCGGCAAATCCGTTGACTTGAGATTTTTAAAAGTTGCACCTCGAACGAAGAAGTGAAAAGGTTGGGAAAATTGTATAACAAAAAGCGAGAAGGCTGTGACCGTTCATAAAAGGGGATTTGACTTATATTTTGTGCTGTAGGTGGGAGATTGTTTTCTTGCGCGGTACAATTTATGCGAATGTCATACGGGCTATTTATTAAACGGGATAACATTGTCATAGCGTCTGTCTTGTGCTGTTTGCGCGTAATAAGATTTTGTTTTTTATTTTATTTCTCGACGGTAAAGTTATTTTTAATTTGTCGACACCAGCTCGTAAATTCCACATAGGTACTCGACAGTTACGCTCACGGCATAAAACCTACAAACTCGTTCGAATTTCAAACGATAAAAAGTATGACCAAAAATTTTCAATTTACTTAACTACCATCTCAAAGTCAATTGAAAGATCCAACGCTTTCGCTAAACAAACTTTACTAATGTCTGCTAATACGGAGTTAAATTTTCAGAAAGTTCACAAGAGTTTGCGCTTACTTAGCTATTTATTTTATATATTTAGAAAAGATAAATGTTGCTTTAATAATTAAAAACTTTGTAAATTTTTCTTGTAAAGGAAAAATACAAGTTTTATCAATATTTTCAAACATGTTAAAATAAATGTTAAATGTTTTGAAGTTCAAAAACTACCACAAATCACAAACAACTTACGCCAAATTTAACAATTATTTCGATTTTGATTCACGTGAAAGCTGTAGCGACCAGAAGTGTTTAAATTCTGTAAATGTGCTAGTGTTAAAGACAAAGAGTAGAAAACAAGTAGGTCTGCCAACAATGTGTGGCCTATTTGCAGAAGCGTCACCCACTTGTTGTGTTTCCGGGCAAGCTTCATTGTGACCAGCTACATGGCCGAGTTAATATATTAAATAAGGGTTTACTATTGTTATTCGCATTTGTTTTTATGTAATGTTATATAACAATGACAGCTACGGTAAAAAAGGAAATCGTTGTAGACTTATACAATTGAAAGTAGCGGATGCGTAGCAAAAGTGTAGAGGCAGCGTAGCACCTATTTACATTTAGTTTTCTAACAATAATTTGTTTTTATAAAGAGGTGCAACTTGACTACGAATATTGTGCCCAGTTTAGAAATATCATATAAGTTTGTTATACGCTTACGAATACATGAAAATACAATAAGGTTTAAACTTGTAATGAATAATAATAGCGATAACGGACACAAAGCGGCGCAAGTCGTCTAATTGTTGTTTAATAATAAATTACAATTCATTAAGACTGTTATCGGCAAGCCTTTGCATTTAAAATAGTTTGAGATCGTATCCTCTTACAGTAAATAATTGTAGTTATTGGTTTTCTGCTCGATACGGCTACTTTGAAACTGCTAACTAGTTGCTTCTGTTCGGATTATCCACGGAACTTTAGAAAATATTAGAGTCGTTGCAGTAAAGATAACGGCGACTCATTAATAGAACTTTTTAGTTTGCTGTTTAGCTCATATTTCTTCCTAGGAGTCTTGATAGTTTCTTAATAAATACTTTTGTTGATATTTAAGGTATAAAAAATATGTCGATCCCTTTACTTTACCTTTGAATTTTAGGCTATGCGACTGTTACTCAATAGCATACATGTTATACGTTTTAATTGCACAACTTATACTTAATAAACACATCACAGACAAATAGCTTATCATTAAAGTAAGAAAAGGCTATTAGCAAATACAACGTTATTCTACATGCCAAAGCGATGCCTTCAGGCGTCGTGGGGTTTAGTTGATATGGAACTGCAACGATATATTTGAACTGATTACGTACGAGTTCGTCAAGTAATACATTATTAGTTTAGTTGAGATGGATGCTTAAACGATTTAAGTGGGTTTGCTCTATTATGAGATGCAACTCGATATTGATTGTTAATATTATTTTGTGATGAAAGAGGAATTATCATTTCATTCAAATCATATCCATTAGGTCGTAATATTTACAGACATTTTTAACCTTAAGAACAATGTCGGATTTGAAAAAATCCAAAATCCACTTTTTATCATATTTACTACATTGACTAAATTGAAAAAAAATGACATGTGTTTTAAATTTCAAATTAATCAGTCTTTAAAGTGATGAAATTGATAGAGACGTGATGTTTCTAGAAAACTGTATAATTTAATGTTATTATTTTTATTTTGTTTCAAAACAAACCCTTTTGTTTGCTTGTATGCCAATTTTCATAATAACAGAATATTAATTAAAATAGTTATGACAAAAACCAACATAATCATGTTGGTTATATATTATTTTGAAATGGCTGCCCTGTATAAAGTTTACTATTTGTCACATCCGTCACTATTCTATGACGATTTATTCATACTGTTTTCTGCACCGTATATTTACATAAGTAATTTTGTTTAATAATTAGAACTAATAATGCCTTTAAACCTAATATGTAGTGTTAACCGTGTTATTTATTTATATATAAATGATCTCATTACTTTTATACACACGCACACCAGTATTCTCTACGTAAACAATCTGTCTTCAATAAAATAAGAAAACCTTTTTCTTACCTGATTCTTTCCTTTGAGCACCAATACGTTAGTCACTCGGCCAAAAGGCAGCCCCAATTGAATGATCTCAGCTTCTGTCGTTTCATTTGGTATGTTCCGTATATGTATAACTCGGGACGGTTTTCCAACATTTTGCTCCAACTTCACCTGAAAGTAAAAAAGCAATAGATTAGAAACATTCATGGTGTAGTATTTTGCAAAATACAGAAGGCAAAATATACTTTGCTCAATTGAAGTAAAAGGAAGAATGAATAGTAATTAACAAAAAATTATTTCAGTTCTGTAAGTTCAATGAATATATATGAGAAAAAGTGTTCAAGTTACTGTTTATGGATATATATATACATGTCTTTATTTAGACTGTCTTTAAACAGATGCAGATTCTATATTAAAGCTTTTTCAGGGATATAATTAAGTTATTCAGAATCTTAATATGCATACGAATTAACAACCAACAAGTTTATTCGTACAATCTGTAGTCATAAATTAAAATTATTAATCTCCAAAACGTCCCATTCGCGTACATTGTTTAATTGGGAGTTACGTCTAAATGCCTCACAAAATGACCGCTCTAATATACATAAATAAACCTAGTATTCACGAGTCGGTTGGATAATTGAAAAGTCGATGTAGTATAATTGCCGGGGCTTATCGGTCCGGCCCGATGTGGGCGCTATTGTTCCCCGGAGAGCCTTTTGATTACGCCGACCCGCCAATATAATGTAGCCTTGTATGACACTTCACTTGCCATTCATGGGAAAAACGTACTTTATTATTTTTTGGGAGAATTTATGAGATGCTCTTGCTCATTCAATAGGTGTTTGTTGTATTATTAACGAAGTAACAAATAGTAATTAAGCCTATATATAATTTCATTATTTGAAGAAATAGTATATTTTACCATAAATAGAAAAAGAATTATGTGTAGTAAGGGATTTACTCATACGAACTAAATCAATATAATTACACTGTTTTAACTAGAGCCCTCATTGGTATTTTTTGCTAAATTGTTCTACTACTTCTTAATTACTTTAGTGAATAAAAAACATATTTAGTTATGATAAACGATTGGCTCAATATTTAAACAACCATAATAGTTTTATCGTATTTGGTAAGTGCTTATTGTTACTTCATAAATATCAAGTGTGAAAGTGAGGGTATGCACATAATATGTACAAACCCTCACTTTCACACCATCACACAATACAGCCGAATTATGTATTACTTAGCTAAATGTATTTAAAATTTTGTTATTCATTTTTATTTTACATCATTTATGTTTAACAAATTCTTATAAAATTAAATTAAACTATTACACCATTCTTCGTTAAAATAGTTTTATGTGACAGAATTCCTTCAATAAATAAAGGGCAAAGGAAAAAGCATAGTAATATACGAATTATACGGATGTAAACTTACTATTAAGTAATTAATATTAAAAATAAACAAACTATGTTACAAAATATCCTTATTAAAAACTTCCACTTTACATTGTTGCAAAGTTTTAAACTGTGACATCTAGTACTGAAAATTAACTGACAAAGTATGGTGCGGATCATTTACTCTACTTAAGTATTTAAGATCGCGAGAAGGGGAAACTTTTTACAAATGACTTAATGTAACAAAGTTAGGATAGCGAGATTTGGAACATTTCCCCGATTGCCTCCTTTTATCGATTCGACAAATGAACCTAATGTCTATTAGTTGATCATTGTCGGGTTACACAAAAGGGAACTATCTCGATAGTGGCTGAAAGTCGCAGTTCCGTTCCGAGTTTTCACATTTTTCACTTACGACTTAAGCGTTTATTCTACACGGAATGATTAATGTTTCTCCTTTTATTTACGCTCTTTTATCGAGTGGTCAATGCTTATACTTACGACAGCTTCAGAGTTTAGCTAGGATTATTCTTATGGTTTATGAAGTCCTGGTTTCGATTTAAAATATTTCATTATACGAATCAGATTCAGTCATCATTAAATATGCGAGTGATTTATTTACAAAAGAAATTACGTATCGGTTACAGAATAAACAATAAGACGGAATAAGATTTTTATCTAATAAATAACTAGAATCCGTCAGATAATTTTGTGTTCCAACAATTCGAATCCGTAACAATCGACATCAAAAGAGGCAAATCTCCGTAAGTAAACAAATAAAAAATATTTCATCCAACTCACTTGCAAAGGGAAGAATAAATCGCGAGGCACGTTCGCCCACCTTAAGGGTACATTTCAGTATTTTCTTTCGCGAATGAAAACAAGTCGCACGTAAAACGTAAAGGACATTGCTATCGTCGGGTCAGAAAATCTACGAACGATTTTCACATCAGACACTTTAAATCATTCGCTTCGTCTCACATTTCACCCATAAATATTAAATCTTGGGATAGAAAAAAGAGATCATATGACATTTCCCTGAGAGAGTTTCCCGGAATCGGTCAATTTTCCCGATGATCGCGCCGATCGTGTTTATTAAAATATTATTTTTCACTTGATCGCACTCGATCCAGATTATGAATAATTCCGGATTTTCTATCATTTTATTATTTAGAAACTTTCCTTTTCGAATATCAGAGTGCATTCACAAGTAAAATTAAACGAATTTGGTCATTAGATATGTTTTAAGTATAAGACATTTTACCAAACGTAACCAGTTCAATTAAAAATGTACAACTATGCAATGTTAAATAAAATACTACCTTGGATTCACTTAAATCTCTAAACCACGTACAGTAGGCAAATATCAGATTTTTAATAACAAGTGAAACATTCTACAAAAATATTGAACACCATGATGCCTTTTTTTTGACGGAACAATTCAGGCTAACTTTTTCATCAAATGAATTCACTTTAGTACATTAAACATTAAAAATATTTGAAATAAAAAAAAAATGTATCTCTCTTTTTAATTTGTGTACATAAATAATCTAATTTCGTTGACGTTTTCTACAGATTATACATGAATCAGGAAAATGTATAAAACTTAATACTGGTTAAATAAGATCTTTTGGATTTGCTTTACTGATACTGAGGTTGTGGAACTTTTAATTGGCCGGCCGCAACTTATTGTAATCAAATAGACGTCTTGACTTGAAAATTGCAGTAGACGTCGAAAACTTGTAATTAAAAGAGATGTTAAATAGGGAAACAATCAGGTAGCTTGTTTATTTTAAGAGTGCCTTTCTTAGATTATTTAATTAACACTTCTAAAGTAAAAATTTTATGAAACTCCTAGAAGTAGAAAGTTATAAACTCAAAACCTTTTTAATAATCCTATCGGTTAAGTTACTTTAAAATATTAATAAATAAGGTTAAGATATTCTATTTGGAATAGTTCCCATGTGAACCATTGAACCTGTGGGCCATCGGAGAACATACGTACGGCTGCAAGAAAATAATACGTAATTTATAGTTAATTAACTTAAATGCTTTGTTTTGGTAAACTTGAAACTCTAATATCCTTCTAAAAGGTTTAAGAAATTAATCTCAGTGAAATTACGGCCTTAAAGCACTTAGAGATTCATTTCCAACGAACGTTTTATTATAGATCATCATCATAAGGAAACCTAATAACTTAAAATGAACATGAACTGCCAAAAGATACTGTAAGGAATTTTTTAAATTTTCAAATGTTTTAATGTAAACAAAATGGATGAATTTGGGGTAATTTAAGCGAGTCTTAATGAATATTCAGAGTACCAGAAGGGTGTCGCAAAAAGGGCTGTTTAAATAATCTTAAAGAGAAAAAACTGAGAGCAATCGTAAAACCATAGAATAGCAAATAAATAAAGGACACGTTCCTATTTAATTATGAATTAGGGGCGGGCTGTAACGAGATCACAATGTAATTAAGATTACTGAGGCGAGGTTTTTTCCAGAGCATTCCTAACAAGTGGGTAAATGGTTGGTAAAACTAATGTGGACATGTTTTTTTCTTATAAAACCAAGTAATTCTTCTTTGTTATATACAATATATTAGCTCAGTAGTTTATGTAACGCGTTGAGCATTAATTCCTAGGTTGGATTCCGGAGAAAGCAATTGTTGTTACAGGTGACATCATCAAGAAAACTGTGTTTGTTTGAGAGAAGTACGATACTTCACACAGGAACTATTTTTGAATAAATTAAATTAAATAACGCGGTGATTTGTTTTTAGGCATGACAACTCATTTGAGTTTATTGCCAGTTCTTCTTGTCTATTCTCCGATTAATGTAAAATTAAAAACAGTATATTTTTATTGACGTTCATGAGTGTACATTGTGTTACCTAAATGAATAAATGTACTGAATGAAACTGAATAAAATAACATAAATTATATATAACAAAAATACTAAAGATATAGCCAATGATGGAATACGTAATACATAATTTAAGTTTTTTAATACATAGCAAAATTTGTCACATTTTGAACAAGAATATTTTTATTTCTATTAAACACCGAGGTAAGTGCATTGGACGATAAAACCCGTAGAATAAGCGACACATAAATCGCAATATAAAAAATCAAGCAAGACAGTTTATGTAACGAAAAATTACAGCACAAGCAAAAGATAAATTGTATTGAGAGTTAACTTCTCAGAAATCCTACTATAACATTTATTGTGACACCAAACAATGTATTTTGCCCCACCTGCGAAAAATACAATGAACCAACCTAGAAATGGAAAAACCCAAATGGCAACAATGTTTATTTTTTCATTACAGTTGCATACGCTTTTTGTTTAGCTACAATTCTGTTTAAATACACAGTCCATTCTTTTAACTATCCAAACTTTTGCGGGAAATTTGTACGCAGACGCGTGTGTTTTTTATTGGTTCGCTGTAAAAACTGAACTGGTACTATGAATTTATTATTTTACCGGTGCGAATGTTATTTACATGCTATGTTGAATTGATATATGTTTAAGAATTGAATTAGAGAAACGTGATAAACAAATGAAAAACAGTACAGTATGTGTGTGAATATCTTAATCACAGGGAACTGTTCATAAAAAAAATATGTGTATTTCGTACGCTAAAATAAACCTTTATATACAAGCAAATGAGTCAAAGACTCCTTTGTTACGCGACCCTACGATTATCAATTCAATTTGTACCCTTAATAAGAACCATATACACTGTAAAATCCAAAAAGTCGGCAAAAGATTAATAAAATTCTGGTCTTAAAAGCCTCTAGGGATGTCCCTTTACGACATGCTGGATCTTTACGAGGGCCTCTTTCATTTAATACCTCGCGTTTATATCCATTTACAATATGTATGCCAAGGTAATTATGAACTTTGAGATTTGTGCTTTGTAATGCCGTAATAAAGGTAACATAGAAACGAGGCATTACCTCGAGGCAATTGCTATTTCATTTACGTGGACTTTGGATTAATAATACTTGTGTGTATAACGAAAAAATACGTTCTCGTTATATTACTTGTTTGCTTAGATTATTATATTTATTAGATGTATAAAGTTAAGCTCGATTCAATACTTAATTTGAGGTTCTAGTTTTAGATTCTTCAGTGTATAATTTTTATTAACATTACAATGAATTTCTTTTAAAGTTGTCTAGCTAGCGCTAGCTTTTTTCACTTTGATGTGACCGATGAGTACTTAATTAAATATATGACTGATTTAGATTAAATCAATAAATAAAAATTCCAAGGTTTCCTTCAGTATTTGTTTGTAAAATATTGTATACAAACATATACTGATTTCTAAATTTTTTTAAAATCTAAGTGGTCGAGGCCACTTATAAAAACTAACTTTTTTCGCAGCTGAATCCTGATTATTATTATCAGCATGGTGTGGAGCAGCCGGCGCCATGACGGTCACGCCACTCTGAGACAGAAGCTCGTCGGAGCCCCTCTGAAACAAAGAGAAATTAATTGAATTTAATTATTCATATAAAAGGAAAAGTACAGATTACCCTGGAGGGCTCTAGCGTACTCGAATTTCTTACTGTGTTTGTAAAATCGTTTACATTTGGCATTCCAGTGCTCTATACACCAAAATTTTATATGTGAAAATTAAATTAATTTTCATGAAGAATGATTTTTGTAACCTAATTATTTTGTAGTATATTTAAAAACTTCAAGTCTATATTATTGTTCGTGAAATAAACGTGGTCCTACGCCATCCTGGTGGCATCTCTTAGAAGTCAAAAATCAAGGACGAATGACAGGCAAGGCTGATCTTAAAATAAAAAACAATCTTAGTTTTATGAAGAATTGAAGTGAATTTTAGTACTTGTGGTAGTGTTAAATAAAAGCATTGTTGGCCTAGTCGCTTCAGCATGCGACTCTCTTTCTTAAGTTCGATCCTAATGAACTTTCTGTCTATGTGTGCATTGACCACTCTCAAGAGTACGGAAATTGCCACGCCTCAAATTAAAAAATCGAAAATATGTGTCACACAGAAGGCTGATCACCTACTTGTCTATGAAATATAAAAGATCAAAGAAACAGTCAATCTGAGCCCAAATACCATAGGGTTACCACTTAATTATTATTATACAAATATATGTAAAATTCGTGAAATATTTATCTAGTTCCCAAATATTATTATATGAATTCGACATATTATGATTTAAGTCGGGCTATGTCTCAAGAAATATTCCTTGTTCTGATGTATGGCCATAGCTTACAGTTAACTGTCGGAATTTAAATTTATAGTTGCACCCCTTAACAAAACTGTGACATAAATAAATCCTAACGTGTAAGTAACTGAGACAGATGTACACGAAATATGGACTCACACTGCAGTGGAATAATAAAAAATATTAGCCTTTCATCACATGTAAAATATAATAATTAACCAAAAAGGAAAACGTACTTTATTTTCAGAAATATATAGAGAGAGTAGATCTATTCTACTCCAGTAAGAATATATAAACAAATAATAGCCTCTGTTGTGGCCAATTTCGCTTTCACTTACATTCAGAGCAAAGAGCGTTACGAGTGACATGTGGGTCTTTATTAAGTGTCTCAAGTGACGGATGCCAGGTAGGCAGCGACTGTGTACCCTTGCATACCGATTAGGGTCCGATGGAAATGTGAAACAGTATACGACTATTTGTTGCAGACTATCAAAGAACATTTCATACTTCGAATTTGTAAATATTTCTTTTTATTTTAAACGAAGAAGACTTTTGCCTGTTTACTCAAATGACAATTAAATTCATAATTTTATTACAGTTCATTTACAATCGTCGCACTGACAATGTGTTTGAAATTGCTAAACGCGTTCGCGTATTTCATTTTTAAATTGTTTTCAAATAATAAATCTAATTAAAGTCGTTACCTTATATACTGTGAGTTAAAAAATAATGTAAGTAAATACAGGAGCTTAAATAAAATATTGTGATAGTTCTAGTTGCAGGTGTCTGTGGGTGGCACTTATCACTTAAGAGCAGGTGAGCTTCCTGCCTGTTTGTACTTTATTAAAAATAAAGGTACGATGTTTATATACATTTACGCAGACGACTTTGTTTATTAATTCAGAACATCAACAGTCTTTTCCGCTATGTAAGTCATAGAAACTGCCCGTCAACGTAAAACAAAAGAAGATTTTGTATTACAGAACAAATATATAAAACATTTCTATAACTGTAACACAATTTACGTGATACATCGATTCCATAGAAGGGGTAACGATCTTAATAGGATTTGCATAGTTTCATCTCAGCCCTGTACATATATAAAGGGTGAATTTGTACTTTCGTCTTATTACGGCTCGTGATTTATATACCTGACACCGGTGTGTTTAACTGCCGTAGTCTGTCATTTCCTCGTCTTAAATTGAGATTGATCCAGTGAGCTTGACGTGTGCATTCGTGTGCCGGAAAATTGTTTTTGTTTTCCTCCTTTCGTACATATTGATATATTTTTTTAGCTCAATACTGTGATACGTTGTGTATAGACACAGCAGAAAGCACGGTCGAAAATACTATACAGAGATAGTTTGTTTTCATTAAATATGGTTTTAACAAGAAAAATGTCTGTTAATCGGATATTTTCATTGTGAGAAGTCGATTGAGCGAATTTTATTCCAAGTTTTAAGTCGATTAAATTTGAATATAACGCTCCGGTATAATATCATAAGTAATATCGTTATAAAGCGTCAATGACGGAAAGGATGCTTTATAAAATTACTCAAATAGAATTAAACGATTACAATAACAGCGGGAATCCCATTTCGGAATACTCTTTCAAAAGAGGTATGATTTTTTAGGAATAAAACGACACAGGCTATTCCTTAGAGTAATTTCGTAGAGCGCGTATAATAATTGCCCGAAATTAAATAATTTTTTTCACAAAGAAGCATCTTTGATGAAAATTTTGTTGTGAAATGGCAGATTGTGTTAAGAATACGGCTTTAGGTTTGAAACAGACTGTTAATTGTATACTTGCAATCTTGAACCTATTCATTTAAAGTAAATTAAAACGGAATGTATTAAACGACAGCTTATAAATATTTTATCCAAAAACAAAAATCAATCAATTTCTGAAATTACTTCTCTAGAGGCGAACTCAGCTTACCAAAGAAAACCGTAATATTTTCGAACAAAACACACTGAAACGTTTCCCCAATATGTCATTTGTATGTGATACAGGCCCTTCGCATAAGAATATTATCAGAAATAAAATATACATGAAAGTGAGGTTTGCCCAGATCGGATGAACCCCCGGGCCCTTTCGGTTACGTCACAACAGAATCACTTTAAAGGAGTGGACACTTACATTTTATTACATTCTATTCATTCCTACAGTGTAGTGAATTAAATAAATAGTTTAGAGCTGTACGCAATGGATTTATACGTTTAGTCTTGAAGTTGTCTCTATTATATTAAATCAGGTATGATTAATGATTTTATTTAAAGAGTAGCAAACCCTTTATCTAATAGCCCTGAGCCATGTATTCATGCGTTTGATTCAGCTCGAATTATTAAAGATTTACTTACTATTTATTATTTTTTTATTAATTACTATTTTTTTATTATCTATTTATCAAAAGTACTGTTATGTTGTGTTTTTCGTTATTCGAGCGTTAACATAATTTATTAGAAAAATACATAAGAGTATTTTAGTTGGATTAAATGCAATTAGACAATAAGGGCGTTTTCATTTGTTAATATTTTCGACAGTTTTCTTATAAAATAATGAACAACCTATGAACGTGAAATTTGAATTGAAACGTACGAATACCTTTCAAATATCATCAAGAAAAAAATACTTAAAGAATGTTTCCCCAAAAGGGACATTCACGTCCTAACAGATAGAAAATCAAAAGATATGGTTACGTAGTCAAAGTGAATAGCCATGGCCATTGTTGTGAATCGATACGTATAATGTATTAGTGATATTAAAATGTACCAGAAAAAAAACTCGGAGATGGGACGAGACTATTGTTATTTCAGTAAGGGACATCTATTTTACAAATTGCTTGAGTCAATATTATTTTAGGTATAATTTTCATCGCATTCTCCCTCGCAATCTGGAGACCGCATTTAAGTAAATACTTTGCCAACGATTTCTTGGAAGTTCGAGAGAATTAGATTGTGTGGTAGCCGTAAGGTGCTTAATCGGTAATATTTCTAAGTTTGGAAACAGTGGCCTGCAATACAACCTTTCATAATTTTGTATTTTGAGTTAATTCCGTAACAGGTCATTACTGATAATAACAATATTTGTACGAGAATAAATCTAAGTAGAAAATAGAGTATTCGTAGCATTTAACAGTGCCACACAGTTGTGAAGATGTGCGTAGCTCGTAGCAACGTAGCGGGCATTGGGCAGTCTACGTGTAGAATCACAGGTGGTTTCACATTATATTACGTAGTTGCTTTAAAATCTAATAAAATAAAAATAATTATGTAAAGAAATCAAAACAAACAAAGTTACGCTAATATTGTATTTACAAAACAAAGTAATTGATGTATCAGTCACAATGCTCTTGTACAACTGAAACAAAGTCGGGAACATTTACGATACGAATGAAAAATCACCTTTTATGACGTCATTGTTTCTAAAATGTATCCGATATGAAAAATTATCTGTCACGGGAGTCTGTAGTCTAATAATTTTTATTGCTATTTCACGACCTTACAGTCCGATTTAACTCTGCGTGTGTAAATTATGATTTAATTTAATAACCACCGCTGAAAACGGGCATAAAATGTTTTTATGTGAGATAATATACTTTTCATTAAGAGTCATGTGTTACATTCGCAATTTTATATTCACATTTTATGAGCGAGTTGGGTTGTAGGATTGAAACGTTAGTATTTATTACACCTACCTGAGTAAACCATCTTACTACTTTACGTCTTATAATATATATATAAACTGTAAATAAACATCGCAGAATTACGTCTTTTTTGTATATACACTAGTTATCTATATTTAATAGTTAAGTCTATATTATATAGCAAGTTCCCTTTAAAACATACCAAGTAAGAATATTTTTTTTATATAATAAAAATACTTGATTACATAGAAAAATAAAACGCAATACAAGTGAACTAAACAACCAGAATGAACTCAATTAATATAAACGTCGTTGTCATAAAACGGTTTCGCTCCGGCTATTTAGGCGTCTCTCAGTCAAATTTACCCTTTGATATATGAGTTTCATTCGAACTATTCGATGTAATTTGTCCAGCCATAACTGTGGCAATCAAACAGGATCGAGCATTAAGCACAAGCGCCCGTCAAAACTACCGCACATTCGTCTAACGCCTAATATCATATCGAGTAAGATGTAGAAATTAACGATCTTGATAATATTTGTTGGCTCAACGCTGCTGCTTCCCGTAATTAATAACA